GTGGGGATTCGCAAAGTTTATAAAATGATGCGGAGAAAAGCGACGGTGACGAGGGGGTGAAGAGGGTACGCGGCTCCGCAACAGAGGGAAAGATTTCACGACCCTTAATCTGGGTTAGATCTTTGAGTGCCGTGGGCTGTCATTTCCTACTAGCGCACCCTATTGTCTTTAGGCTTATCTCCAGAATCGTCGAGGACGACATCTTGCCGCTGGAAGGAAGTATCGAAGTTTTAGGACCCCATTTCCGCGGATCGTCGCGGCTCGCTGGAAGTCGATAAAACGGATACGAAGAGTCGTATTCGGGGACGTCGTTTGCAAAAAACGCGACGCCAGGCGAAACATGGTCGATTTAACTTGAAACATTTAGCGCACTTTTACACGCTGTCATAAATTGTACAAAGAATAAAATATTTAGATGTGTGATATGCATAAAACGCGCTTATAATCAAACCGTGTCTCCGAGATTATATCATTATTTTTGTATCTACCTTTTATAACTATCTTTTGTATCTACTCTAGATAGATTTTTATAATTATATCACGACGTACATAAGACGACCAATGATGGAAACATTATCATTTCTTAAGGGAATGTATTGTCTGCATATCGCAAATAATGAACAAATTTGATATTGATTTCTAATTGAAATCTGGATCAAAAGTTATTCCATTTTGAAGTATAAGTCTAGCTAACATGATGACACGTCAATTGACGTTTTAATGATGCATTAATGACGTCTCTAACGTCAATAAAACCTCATTAATACGTCACTTGACGTTATACTGCTATTTGAGTTTTTTAAACAATGTTGTTATAGAAATATATGTTGCTATTTTTAACAAAGGAAAAGATAATATTAAAAAATAATAACAAAAATTTCAATATTTGTATTTTAGGTATTCAAAATTATGTGGACCAAGTATTATTTTATTTTATTTATAGTTATTTTATTGTAGCTCAAAAATAAAAGTTCAAAAATCAAAAACAATATAAAATAAAATAACTAAACTATAAAAAATATACTATTAACGTAAAAATATATTATTACTTAACTATGTCATATACATGTACCAATCATTAAAAAAAAAATAGATATATTAACGTATTTCTAATTCTTAGTAATTTTTTCTTGCGAGGATTATACGGGCAATACATCCTTAATTACATTTACGGAATGAATAGTTTGTATTTGATTAATCATTAAATTTACATCATACAATGATAAACTTTTTTGTTATATTGGCGCAATAAATTGACTAAAAGTTACTCTCAGATTTTCATATTACATATTACACTGTTTTCCAATAATCTTTCTCGTATTTCCCCTCTCTTTCATATTTTTATGTCGTTATTTTATGCTAAATATGATTGCCATATAAACCATCTATAAAGAATACAGATTAACTAGAAAAAATGCTGCCTAATTTACATATACCTGTCTATCTGGATGATTTTAATACCGATAACAGCAAAATAATTATTATTATAACTGCTGCTCGAACGTTTAATTTACATCGTTCATTTGCGAGGCTAAAGATCCCTGCGTTAAAGAACTTTCAAGCAAAGAAGAGGCGAGGTAAAATCATCTTCGTTAACCCGGTTCTTGTGTCCGTCGTACGAAGAACCCTTGAGAAAAGGGTTTTTCGATGACGATCGAATTTTCACGGAGGGCGGCAGTAAAGTGAGAAGTCAGAAAATCGATTCCACGAGTCTGCCCTCATCTCTTTTCGCGCCGTACTCTCGAGGAGGAACAGTCTGCCCTTCGTTACAAGCCGCTCGTGAACGTGTTTCGAGGGTCCGGCCTGTTCCCCGTCTTCGACAAGGTCAGGTCAGGTCGAGGAAACGGCCTCTTGTCGGAACGCTTGGAAGACCGTCGTTTGATAGGCCATCTTAATGAAGTGCCCTCCGGAGGCCCGGCGTGAGAAATGGTCTTTTTCAATGAGGACGGCTCCTCGAAGCTCGAACGAAGAAGAGAGCAGCCACTGTTGTCGCGATATAACTCCGAAGAATCGAAGAAAAGAAGCGAATGGATACGATAGATCTCTCGTTATAAAAACAGATCGTTACGTCAATTGAATGATAATAATAAGAATAATAATCTTCATTCATTGGGAAAACTTTCAGGCAGATGAGGCAGATAGAAAAACAAGAAATCAGCGTGGAAAATCAAAATAACATAATGACACACAAAATAGAAGATTACAAAAAATTATAAAGAAGAATGAAAAAGCTGCAGACTTAAGTGCAGAAAAGAGAGTTCAAAAGCAGTCAATGTTCCACTAAAAAGATCAACATAATTTACACGTATTCGTCATAGTACATTAATCTAGAAACAGTAGTCTACAATACAGTAATCTAGAAATGCAGGAATGACGAACACACACACACACGTACAAAGTACGATAGTGCTAGTACGAAAGATGGAGCACTATCTTAACTCTCTAGTATAAATATTAAATTTGATAAGTGCAAATATATCGATTAATAAGGTTAAAAATAAATATTAAATCATAAATCAACCTCCTTTTTTATATAGGCAACATAGTTAGCATTTGTATAATATATATTATATAATAATATAATATATATAATATTATATTATTATATAAAATTATATATTATATTATATTATATTATTATATAAAATTATATATTATACTTATATATAATAATATAATATTTTATATAGTAATATTTGTATAGGTTGATAAAGTCAACAAGTCAACAAAAAAGTGATTGCCATGGTATTTCCCATGCGACAGTCTGTCAAACATAGGAATTTGTGCCGTACACGTTTAACCAAATCACCCTGGCGGTTACAATGCGGATAGTTGATTAGATTGACAACGCTGACAATAACTGTATGTATCTTTTATATACTACATCGGCACTTAATGTTTCGACGCTTTTCGAGAAAGAAAGTCCATTTCAACCTGTGCGACAAAAATATCTGGGAATAAAGCACCACCATACTACCGCCCGACGAAATCTACCCGCTGGAAGTCATCGAACTTCCCGACGATTATGGAACTTTCCTCCTCATTCACGGGACTTATTTAAAGCCGTCCGTTGAACTGTTTAATTCGTTAATCCCGATTTAACTTATCGCAAACTTCGGCGAAAGAGCGCGCGGGCGCGTGCATGAGGAGGAATTGGATTTCCCCGCGCTGAAATCCTATTTTTAAGATCGCCAAGTGAAGACATCTTTTCTCGACGCGTCTTTCTCGACGCGTCTTCCTCGACGCGTCTTCCTCGACCGTACATCATCGAGTGTTCAAACGTCGAAATTAGCGCGGAAGTAATTTATCCGACGATTGCGCGACTGTCGGACGCGAAATACGACGCGATGAATTTATCAGGAGAACCCAAGAAACTCGAAAGGCGTCAATTTTGCCAGGCTGTTGCGCCGTTCTCTCTCTCTCTCTCTCTTTCTTCCTCTCTTCTCTCCTTCCTTCTCTCTCCCTCTCTCGCAAGTGTGCTCGGGTCCGAAGCAGCCGCCGAGATTTATCGACGCGTCCGTTCTCCCCCTCTTCCTGACTTACAGCCGATAATTAAACCACCGTAAACCGGGACGGGGTGAGGCGCGGAAGGCGTAAACGGTCCCTCGGAACCACCCTCGCGCCAGAGTCCCCGAAAGTCACGAGCCACCACCGGCACGAGGCGAGAGGGTGGCTTTCGTTCGCCCCGAGAACTTGCGTCGTAAGTCACTCGTGGGCCTAACCGTAAAGGAGTTATCAAAAGTGCGACGCCAACGGCATTGTTCGCCGATCATCGTCGATGCATTGTCTCGCGAGCCGTAGAAAAGCCATAGCGACAAAACGCTCGGCGGCCGGCGTAAAACGGGAAATTTATAGTACCTGCAAGACTACCCGCAAAAGTGCGCCATACGTCCTCCAATGAAGGGAGAAAGAAAACTCGCGCGCGCACGCGAGAGAGAAAGAGAGAGAGAGAGAAAGAGAGAGAGAGAGAGAGAGAGAGAGAGAGAGAGAGAGAGAGAGAGAGAGAGAGAGAGTGAGAGTGAGAGACGGGGAATCGATGGAACCTGACGTCGGCCGATATTTTTGATATTTTCGAGAAATAACTACTCGCAAATGACACGTGTTCAGCTCGCGATTGATCACAGCCTATCATCGGATTGCCGGCTCATGTCTTCAGCATCTCATCCGGCCACTGCTGTTTCTTGTCTGACACGTTTCTGTTGTACGTCAGACGCGTCACATTTCCATGTAGCTAATCGCAACACCAACGCGCCACGGTATTCGCCCGCTTGCCGTTATCCTCGTTTCACGGTCGACGCGTCTAGGACCCATCAGGTATACTATCGAGCCGAGCGAATGTATAAATCTCGCTATTCGACGTACGACCTCAGACCGATTCCTTGGAAATCTCGAGAGATCACCGACACGCACGGTCCTCTTCGCGCGTTACTCCCGACATTATATAATCGCCTATTCTTGTGAAGGTCGCTTACGTAATCGTTCTCTGCATCAGATGAAAGTGTGAAAGTTTTCGTGTGGACCCGCCGAAATCGTGACCTCTGTGAACTTAACACTACCACAACTAAAAATCGAATTATACATCGCATAATCAAGTTCTAATTAGTTGCTAATTAATTGTTATAGTCCCCGAATTTATTGCTTTTGCTCAATCGTTGGAATTTAATTTTAAAGATAGGGATGCTGGTTTACCTTGATTCTAGCACCGTCATTACTAGAAAACATATCAGCATTATAATATGTCACTAGAGCATTATAATATGTCAAAATCAATAGCTATTTAATTCCTTTAAAATAAAACTAACAAAAAAAGCGGAAATATTTATTTGTTCTGGAAATATCAAAATGGTATATCCTATGCTAGTTTCATCAAAAACCGCTTCTCAAAAATAAAATGTATTAAAAAAAATCGTTGTTGCGATATACTTCATGTCAATATGTTCGTAATAAAATGTAGTTTGAGAAA